GAAGGCAAAGGGGGCAGAATAGAGAGCTGCAGAGCTGGAGAGCTGGAAAGAACGTTCATGCAGCTTCCTGTAGAGAGAAGCACCACAGATGGACATTTATATGGGAAAAATCAAGCGAAACAATCTCTGTATAAAAGGAAGAAGACAATGACCCAGAGAACAGTGAGTGACAAGACTCACGAGTCCACGGCAATCTGAAACACCCCCAGTTAAGGAAGAGTTCTGGGAGAACGACTGCACTACCCAGCAAAGGCCACACTTCATGAATGGTGTAACAGAAGGAATACTCAAGCACCTGATCGTTTATTTCCCCAGGCATTGAAATGCACAAAAAGTACCAGTTGGCTTATGCGTTGGGGAATATGTACTTACACCAGAACTTGATACAAGAGAATTTGATGAAGCTATAAGCCACGTCTCAACATGAACACTCAAAACCCTGTCCACAATTTTGACAACTTTGAGGCTCATGTACTTTACCTTTGTCCATAAACAACACAAAGGAATTTGCGTAAAGCAGATGACTTCATGGGAGAAGATTTTAAAGTTGGGGTAAGTAAATAAATATGATCTTGCTCAACAAACAATAAGTAAGCAGATCAAGAAAGCATCTACCTGTGATGTACGGTGGGAACTACAACTTAGTGTCTCATATGAGAGCAAATTTGAAGAACTCTAGGAAGAGGACAGACATAGCAATGGAGATGGTCCCAGGAAGAATGAGAATAGGCTCACTAAATTTAAAACGCTAAGGAATGCAATGTTACCTTAAAGATTACATTAAGACGGAAATGAAGCAAAAGACAAAAGAGAACAAGCATGTCAAGGGAAGCAGGAGGCATCCAGGGTTCTGGCAGCAATGCCAAGAGATAAAGGATATGAAATCTAAGAAAACAGAAAATAAGCCAGGTGGCTTTAAAAAGTAGGCCCCAGTTGTTTTGGACAATCTGTAGTTATTGAAAATATCACAAAAACAAAATTCAAGTAAACATAGGAAGAAGAATAACAGGCCCCAGTCAGTTCTTGGCAAGCACGGAGTCTAGAGAGGAACAGCAGAGTTAACTTGTTAGTTTTCATGTCTGAAGGCAGCCTTTGGGAAGCAAGCTTCAAACTCCCCTAGCCTATTTTGAAAGAGAGTTTAAAAAGCTTGGTGAAGGTGATTTTTCTGGCATAAAAGTTGGAGATATAAAAAAGATGCAATAAAGAAGATGGGAGATTTGGAGAATAAAAACTACGTATTTAAAAAACAACAACAAAGAGCTGGAGATAGCTGTATACACCTTAGTGGCATCTACTCAGGAAGCTGAGGTAAAGAATTGCTTCAGCCCAAGAAATTGACCCTTCCTGGACTTGTTCCATGCAGTAACAAGACCATGCCACTTAAGGCGAAACAAACAAAAATTCATTAAGCAACAACAAAAAGAAGCTATTTTAAAATGAAATAAAATATATAGGAAAGCCATTTGCAAAGAACTATACGAAAAGCCTAAATTCATGAAACAGAAATGGAGAGAGAGAGAGAGAGAGAGAGAGAGAGAGAGAGAGAGAGAGAGAGAGAGAGAGAGACTAGGAATAGGCAGGAGGAAAACTAGGACAAAGAAGAAACGTCATGCAAAATGTCTTACATAAGGAACTGATGGCTTAAGCCAGTAAG